CTACTCTTCTAACCTGGGATAAAAGGAGAATAAAATGGGAGGTCATCACGTTGACCTTACACCTGTGGCGTCCCTGAAGGCGCCACCTAGCGGCCACCTGAAAAACCGCGCTTCTCTTGGCTAAGCCGTGACAATATTGAGAGAGACAAGCATTGGCAGGGAACTCTAGGAATGTGGGGACTGAGAGTGCTGCTGGGTCCTCTCTATTTTTGGCATTCTAGGCAGCGAAAAAAGCCTAATCTGGAAAATGCTCAAAATGTGTAGGTAATATACTTCAAATATGTTAACTAAATGCCTTAGACGTCAGATCCCGATTCTTCTAAGTTTACAAATGCATGCTAAAACAAGAGGTTAAGTTTGCATGACCCTATTCATGAAGCAGATCACATTGGAACTGCTGAACAAGCACAATTTAGATTGCAGACCAAACGGAATCACCATTCATCCTTCTCATCATAACATTGGAAATAGTCCAGCTGTTCAGTTCCAAACATCGTGAATCAAATGGCCTTTGGAGGTGCTTCGTTACGCAAAGGAGAATGCTACTTTTGAAAATTATACTCCAAAAAATTCACCAGTGGGGTATCCCCAGCTCGGGAAAAAAAAGTTATTGGGCTCTAGAAAAAGATTCCTGAGTCCCATTTGAACCAGAGCAATGCATGGATCTCTGTCTGTTATCGAATTCTTTCTCAAGCAAAAAATGGAATGAGAGGAAGTCAATTCAATTACGTCCCAGACGTGTTCCCATTGATATAGTTCTATATATGGACAACTATTGCTGTTTGTCCCACAGAAGGCCCACAAAGATGACGACTTTGGCAGTTTTTCGAAAAGGGGTTAAAGACTCTTATTGAGCTTCTTTGGTTCCATTTAAATCCATTTATTCTGAACTTCACAACCTTTTCTCAACCGTATCCAAAACGAATTGAAATCTGATTCAGAAACCATGTTCCAGGCTGAACCAATAATGGTTAAAATTAAACTCACCTTTGCTATGAACGCACAAATGGAAATTTCAAGTTTAGGACTGAATTTGTTTCAGTCTAAGTAAACTAGAACTTGAAGCTGTATAATGTAAGTACCATGAGCACACCACCCAATGCAATGTAGCAATAGGTGCTGCTTGCGAGTTACATGGAAGACACATTATCAGCCTTAAAATGATCGACAGGCACGATTCCAAATAAATTATGTTCTGGTAGGTTCCTGCCTGGCATGCATTCCTGAGAGGAATTACACTCGACCTTCTGGTCACCAGTAACATTTCAGTCACAAGTGAGGCGCAGTTCCATATGGCCCGAAAAAATTAAACACTGAAGAAATAGGACTGCTTGGGGAAGGACGCAATTCATTATGTTTAGCGCTGATTCCCGCATGGCTGCGTACAACATACAGAACTGCCGGGAAAGAGATCACCAGAGACGAGCAAGCTAACCAACATTGTCTGACTGAGGTCAGGGCTCAGACATTTCTCAGCATAAATGAAATATCAATACTTGCAGAAATGCTCAAGTGGCCTTGATACTTATGTGCTCACATCATCGACATAGACTTTAAACCTAGGATCACTCTTTCATGCAAAAGGAATAAAGCAGGACAGTATGCATTTTTCTGACGATAAACAGTGCTGAAAACCATGAAAATGTGATTGATAATTTGCAGGTAATATTAACGGTAAGCAGCTCTGGGGTAATTACCGGTAATCCGGTAACATTACGGTACTTTTACCACCACTCATAACCCATGATATCAGTAATGTCCTTTCTCTTCCTAGTCATACACAAACACGAAACAACTGATAGTTTTCACGGGCAATAGAAAGAAAGAGCCGACGGAGACAGCACAGACCGTAAAAAGGGCGCATTAGAAAGCGTCCGCACTCCAGACCCTCCGGGGATCGAATCATTTTTCAAGTCTTATTTGTCTATCGTCTAAGTCTATCGTCATATGAGACAAATGACGGACACGTGAGAAGATGACATACAGTTGACCATGACTGGAGCCAGTAGATAAAATTTTATATCGTCAAATTTTTATATCGTTGTATCTTTGTTTAATAGATGGTCATAACGAAGGCCATCCTGTTAGAGAACTTCCTGCTGCGCAGTGTGAAGGATAATCCAGAAAGCTAAGGGTTTCATTGTTTTCGCAGACTGTAGTTTCAGTCAAAGAGAAGAACATTGGAGGAAAACAGATCTTAAGTCTTCGAAGGCTGAGGAGCAACATAAGAAGTTGCTGCGTAGGCTAATCCAATAGGGATAATTAAAGAAGTAGCATTTCTTGAAAGAAAAACTAAATTGAACTTCTAATGAATGTTTCAATTAAGATGTTACCTTTTCTTAGGCAAGCATATAAACCATGATAGTTAACATGAGACCACCTTCAGATGACCTTTTCTTCATAGTTTGGTCATTTGGTTAACTGCATACTATAATGAAGATTGCCACAACTCATGACAGCATCATTTATATCGATATCTCAAGATACCTCAGGCAGAATAGCACATATCTAGTCATTTCTTTTGACATTGCGTAGACACTGAGACAGGGTGCTTTTGATATCAGATTTTCATGATTTGACTTTTGATTTCGACTCTCGATTGCAGATCGTGGTCTGCGAGGAACCCTCGTCTGGATGAACACCTTCCACTTGAGAATCTGGAGAATCCATTCCATTTTCAATAATAAGATTCCCTGATACGATGTTCAAGATGTGGATACATACTTCGAGAGATACTCCCATTCACAAGTGGAGTTCCAGAGAGTCAATGTAAGGTCGTATATGATCTAAAGTTATCTTCACAAAAATCCCGATAATAGATTCGTCTTGAATATATTTCACCATTATTGGCTTATCCGATTGCATGAGATTCTCAGAGACATTTACCGGCGAAGAAGCAAAATCTCTGAGCGACTATGTTCACGCATGATATTGCATCCAAGGCATTCATTTTTCCACATCCATGAAGTTTCGTTATTTAATTATTTTCTCTAGGATGTCGAAATTGAATTAACCCATTATCTCCAGGAAATCAGCTCGCAGGCGGAAGCCAATGCCTCAGACTTCAATTAAAATTCGCAGAGAAGTTATCTTGCTTGAATTGCTGAGTACCTGGGAATGTTGGTGAAATTGCGACATTGGGAATATCTGCTCTCGGCCACCGCTCCAAAAACGCACTCATATCCTACAAAGGAGGATGCCCAACATGTTATTTTGGACCTTAAACAGAATTCAATGAATCATATATCATTTGAAAGGGTGTCCTTTGCAAAGTAGTAAAATGCCACTTTTACTCCAATCTGAAGGGTTTGAAAAAGCTAGGTTAGGTTACGTTAAGTTTTGACATGAGTTTTCCAACATAACATTACTTGCAGCAGTTTAGATGGAAGGCAAATGCAGACTACCAATAAAAAAATCAATTAAAATACAATTGAATTGTATTTCGTAAAATCTCCCAATGTATCTATGAATCATTAAATGTCATATAATTGATCATACAATAGGACATTTTTGCAAGATTTTCCAATTCCCAGCTAAAGTTCACCTATTACTTCCAAAACTATGTTCATTCTAAGTTGTTAGCTATGCGGAATGCATTTATTGGAAGTCCCATTGAATTCAGTAAAATAATTTAACGTAACATAACCTAACTGTTTGAAACCCTTCACATTTGGATAAATATTATACAATTCATGTTCACAAGTGACTTAATAAATCTTAATTTCATCCAAATCGGTTTGAGGCCAAAATTGCGCAAACCTAACATAACCTAACCTTAACTTAATCTATCTCTTTCAAATTGTTCAGATTGGAAAAAATATTACATTTTTAGGTTTAGCTAAGGGCGACCTCTTGAAAGATTAACATATTTTTTATGTTTGTTTAAGGGCCGAAACTGGGCGTACTCCTTTGCTACATGAACATAACTAGAAACGATTTACTACGTCAATTTCAAGGCTTCCTCTTGAAAAGGCCTTATATCCGTATATTACTGTTTGCGTCATCTCTAAGATAAATTTTGTTGGTCATATTTTTGAAGGAGAAAATTCTACCCTAATAAAATGTGGGAAGCTGGCAATTTTCACCAACTTCATTGCACTCCAAACTTTTAATTTAAAAGGTTTTAAATAAGAGATGAGGAAATAGGAAGACACATTTCTTCCCTTTCACAGTTCTCGAAATTCCCGAATATATTTGTTTATCTCTAAAAGAGTAAGTCGGAGGTTATCTGTCACATAAAATAGCACACACTATGAGTCATTATTGAGTCATTATTGACTCAGCATTGATGCGAATTTAGCGCGGTCATAGAGGAACACGTCCTCATTCGTGTCGTCATCGATCCCTGCATGACTGTCATGAGCCGAATTCCTGTGACCCAACCTTCACTGGGTTTTGAGCGAGAGAAAAAATCTGAACACGAACACATCGCTCAGCCTGAGCCTCATCGTTGCAATGGATATTCCAGCCAGAGTAGAGTATATATATTTGGCAGCTATACCGCCCCATTTTGCCTCCTCACCGTTACCCCGTTTTGCCCCATCAGTTCCGTCTATGATGAAGACACTGCCAAACAAAAGGCGAGTGAGATATGCACATAGTAATGACTTCATGAAATTGTTCACTTTTTCACCGTCAGTCAAAAAAAAATATCGGACGCCTCCAATGTTCCCATGTTGCTTTCTTTTGCTGATGAAAATTGCGAAACGAAATAAGAAGTTTTCTCACTTTGCTCCTAGGGTGTACACAAGCTACTTCATAGAGCGCCGCCGCGCATGAAAACTTACACCCGTGGTAGAGGGTTATAATAGGCTAAATTTCCGATAGATATCGGGTATGGGTTGGTTAAAATATGTTTTGCCCCGTACTGCGCCTTGCACCGTTTTGCCCCACCTTCCCCTATTCATAGAATCATTTGATTGAGTCACTAGTGCCTTCAAGTTGAATGATCTCGTATCCGCAGTTGCCTGTGGGTGACGCCTGCCCTGCTGATCCTATATATGGCTTCCGGCTTCTTCGTCAACTACGCCGTGCCCTTGCCAAAGTACTGGGTGCACCCGACTCTCACGGAGGCAGACCCGACATCCGAACCGGTTCTTATCTTTTCAGCTTGTGGGAAATTGACTGCCAAGGAGACGCTGGAATCTCTCAGATCCGTCGTACTCTTCACTCGTGTGCCGTTCCGATGCATCGTCGTCGCGGACTGGATCGCCACAAAGGTGCTGAAAGAACTCCGTGGAACCATGCCCCCTCACATCCGGTTCCAAATTGTGAGGCTCCACAAACCCATCCCGTGGATGCTGCGTCCCTCTTTATATAAACTTGCCCACCTGCCCTGCACATGGCAAAGGCTCTACCTCCCCGACATAGTGCCCGACGTCCAATTCGCGCTCTATGTAGACACGGACACGCTATTCTTCGCAGACCTGAAGGAGGCGTGGGAGGATTTCAAGAGCCTGGGACCTTCCCACATTATGAGCATCGCATTGGAAGAGGAGAACACTTCTCAACACTCTTCCTACCAGGTAATGCGTCACGTCCCCTTCTATGGGCAGACCGGATTGGCAGCGGGGGTCATGTTCTTTGACCTGGAGAAGATGAGGCGCTCTGGGTGGGTCGACGAGGTCGAGGAGATCTTGGTCAATTACAACGCGTTCCTCAAGATCTTCGACCAGGATGTGATTAACATCTATGGTCACCGTCACCCCGAAGCCATCAATATAGTGACATGTCGATGGAATTACAGGTAGGTGGAATGAATTCATCAACATCCAGTGATACAGACATAAATTTGTGCTCGTGTGAGCCTTGTAACGAGTCATAAGATGGTATAGATTAGCTGCGCAATGATGAGCATATGAATGGGATTGATAAGTTGGGAACTCCGATAGGAAAGTTACTCTTACCTAGCTAACATCTCTATCCTAGCCAAGTGAGCGTAATCGATTGATCATTCGCTCTATTCGAACATAGAAAATATCAGAGGACTTTGGAATTGTATTATGCGTACTGAGCAATACAATTTCTTAATTTTTTTCTTAAGTTTTTTTTTCATCACTCCGCCTTTTGTAAAGTTGATGGATTTAAGAACTCTGGTAATATTGCCAAAATCACGATAGTTCTAATGCTAGGACTATAAAACGAATGAATATATTTTGAAACGTTTTCTTACTCAAATATAAAATCACGCTAAACCCACCAGCTTTCTTGCTGCAAAAGTGAAAATTCACTTCTAAATTCACAATCCAAGCTGGGACAAGCAAAATTAACCTTCCGACCTGATGCGGGGTATTTTTAAACCCGTAGTGCCAGTTTTCTTGCGGTACGGATGCTTCTAACTACTTCTCAAAACCGTAAAAAAAATTATTGTGGGAAGTTATCCTTATATCTTAAGCATTTTATTGATGTAATTCACCCGTTTGTATATTTATGGAAAAAAGAGAATCCTTGCTGGGGATCATCGGATCGCTGAAGTATCGGTATCAGAAGGCTGAACACCTTTGTTCCAGCTGCGGCTTTAATCTGGCGCAGAGATTCATAACTATTTGGGTCTTGGTTCCTGGGAAATTACTGTGAGATTTAAGGCTTTTGAGCAGCTGCATTTAGCATAACCCTTTTTTAGGTTTATTTAAATGGTGACATATGCTGTTCTACCTCTTCCATATCTGAGCTGAGATTTGATGCAGACTCCATTGGGATACTTCATGTCATTACTTAATTACACTGGATGAAGTATATGAATCGTTGAAGGACACCAGTGTTCATTTTTCTCATAGATGTACAGAAAGAAAAGCGGATTTTACACTCCAGTATTTTCTGTTTCTGTTTTTCTTGCATCAGGGTTAACCATTGCCTAGTGAAAGACAACCGTTGCCCTTCGGCAGAACAGAAGGGGATAGGGATCTTGCACGGAGTAGTAGATGCGTTCAAGACGTCCAAAATCCCAGAGTTTTCGGCAGCGTTCAAGGTAATCCAGGAATGGGACCTGAGGGAACGAGACGTCATCACGATGGCAGACGAGATGGACCGCCAGATAGCCCGTCTCATCCATTGCCCAATAAGCACGTGCGACCCCAATGGACTCCAGATCTTTTCCAAGGCCTTCCGGATGAACGTCTCGCACGTAACCCATGTGGTTCCTATAGTTCACAGGCTATCGAATCCGAGTTGTTCATATCAGACTCCTGGCGAGTGAAGTGTAATGTGGAAATGCCCTGTGCTGGGCATTAGGACATGCTGTGTCTGAGGTGGGAATTTTGTGGCATTCAGGCCTTCTTTGTGCCTCTCTGGATTTGTTCCCTTTCAAAGTAACCGGTGTCTTTAATGTGGCGCATCGAAAATTCAATCGGAGAAAGTGCTTCGGTTGGATGCAGTACGGCGTTCGAATCATGCAACCAATGCCTTTTTCTTATTTGACCAATACATTTCGACTGGACCACGATGTGCGCTAGACCTTTGCTTTTTCGCTTGAATATTTTCCTGAAGTAAAATATGAAGAATTCAATCATGTGTATCGGATTGCATTGCAATCGGAATAAGTGAAGCACGTATTGGTTTCGGCAATGCAAACCATTGTATTGCCTGATTGCAGTATTGCTACTGCAATGCAAAGGTGCAGTTGTAATATTGCAATCATTCTACACCTCTAGATTGTTAGTGAATGACACATTCAATCAGTTTACCACTAATTAAAATAGAGCGGTGTTGAATTTATATTTCCGCTCTCATTTTCCGCTCTTGCGATCAAAATGAAAGCCATGGTAACTTGAGAAATAAATTCTGTTTTATTTAGGAATACCATCTACTGGATGGTACACTGGCAAGGACGCAATACCATTGAAGTCAAAACATTGAAAATATATACATGTTATGGGTCCCTTTCTCACTATGCATTCGCACATTTCATTCTCCCGTTTATGTATGTTGTAGGTAAATAAAAAGTAAAAAATTCAGTTGGAATACCTTCCATTTCTTCATGTTGAAAGGATTAGATAAATGAGGGAAAACCTGGAAATGTGATTCTTGAATAGCCTAGACTATTCTTCAATTCTAACTAAATTTCCTAAGGCTAATGGAGATCGTGCACTCCCTTCCCCTTTAAGTCCTAACAGACTCACAGAAACGGATGAACAAATGGACTAGAATACATTTTGACTTTCCAAGATCCTCTTGCCGCTGTTTCAGACACTACGGTAACTTTAATTTCTTGTATCACGTCGATATTCGCTATTCTTCCAATGTCCCAAATGCTCTTCACGTTGCCATCATTCCCGCTGCCAAAAATTAGCATACACATTTTTTACTTTTCCTATGAATTTGAAAAACCACAACTCTATTCAGTGCACATTTATCATGAAATATAGTTGAGATTCGGCTTTTCCATTACATCAGCATTAATTTGAGTCCAAGAACGCCCTTCTAGCTTCAATATAACCAAAGATAACTACAGTAGTTTGATTTCTATGGTCATTTTTCCTCCATGGTGAGTAATTTGAGATAGCATTCCTGGAGTACGCTTACAGTTAGAGCGCCCGAATTAGGCTATTTTTCATACCGCTTAGAGGAAATTATGTATGAATTTCTTTAAGAAAATTGGAAACGGAAGCGCAACGAAAATAGCTATATTTTGACTATTTGAGCTGGAATGACTCCTATTCCAAAACGCAAGTAATGAGAATTGCAGCTAGCGAAAGCAAAATAGGTAAACCAGTACTCTACGCACTCAACGCGCTCATTCGGGACTCTCAACACGGCTTTAGGAGGCGTCGAAATTGTCTCACCAATTTGCTCGAAATCTACGACTGGGCGACGGAAGAGAGGGATAAAGGGAATCCCGTGGACATCGCCTATTTAGATTTCGCGAAAGCTTTCGATACCGTTCCTCACAAGAGGTTGCGGGTTAAACTGGAGGCGCACGGGATCCAGGGTAGGACGAGTGAGTGGATCAGTAGCTGGTTGGCAGGACGAGAGCAACGGGTGATGATAAATGGGGAAGCGTCGGAGGAGGTCGGAGTCGCAAGCGGTGTCCCTCAAGGCT